AGGGCGACTGCTCGAGGGCGTCCTACCCCGCGTGGTTGGTCGTGACGACGGCGACGAGGAGGCGCAGCTCCTGGACATCAAGCATGACAAGGGATGGCCAGTAGCCACGCGAGCGGCGGTGGTGCGGTGATGGCAGCGTTCGGGCGACAAAGACATGGAAGGGGGTGAGGCGAGGGAGAAGAGGGGTGGCCTAGGGTTCCAGCGAGGAGAGGGGATTGGGGTGGCACTTAACTCCGGGGGGCGAGGGATGGCTGCCCGGCGGCCATCAGCGGCCATGGTGGCCTGGATGGCCGTCATGCCTTCCCCTGTCTCTCCTGTCATGAGGTAGAAGGAAAGGCCGTGGGGTTTGGGCGTTGGGCTACACTATACTGCGACTCTGCCAAGTGCCCAATTAGTGCATTTGGTCTTAGCCTTTTTTATATGCTCTGTTAAACCTCCTAGCTTCTGTTTTACATTTCTTTAGCTAGCAAATGTCTTTTGTAAAATGTGACACTTGTTAAATTAAATACTTTGCAATAACTAGCACTGCCACAAAAAGCTTGAGAGTTAAAAGAATTCATTTGATTTTTGTTTAAATAGAAAAGTTTTATTTTGGGGCTGTTTGGTCCAGTCTAAAATAGATTAAGGGCAATTTAAATATTCAAATAATGTTGGTTTCACTTGGACAATTACCAAGGGATTATTTGCAATATTATGAACATTTTTCTGCATAATTGAGGAAGTAATAATTTGACTTGCATTTCAAATTTGAATTTGACTTTGATTTCTAACTAGTGGCAACTTAGCTTAGCAAGCCTGGTGACATGGCATCATTAGTGTGAGGTTATTATAGTTAACCACTAGGGGTGTTACACTCTCCCCCTCCCCCTCTCCCTCATATTTTCCATCCATGCGTTGCGATCTCACTAATTTCGGGAAGGCTGACAATGATCAACGTCCAAAATTTCGGGAATGTCATGCTGGAGCACGTCAAAAATATCTTAGAAGCAGATGCACGTAAAGGGCGCGTGGAGGAAGGCCTCAAGGAGGCGGCCGGTGTTGGGCTGGAGCAGATCACCGCAACTCTTCCGCGGGTCGAGGAGGTTGCCAACCTCATCATGTCAATGTCCACAAGGCTGTCATTGCGAAGAATTCAGTCGAATCCTGCTGGGTTTGGTGGTTGAGTGCTTCCTTTGTACCATGAGTTATCTTTGTTCTATTTTTGTGGTTCGTGCTTTCGCATGGAGGAACTAGCAAGTTTTGGATCAAATTGTGAATTAATGGCCGGTGCCATCATCCTGGAGGTCACCCGTGACCGGCAATCTAAGGTCACGACACGACGAAAGCTTCAGGGTCAGTGATATCTGCTACCTCTTGAGCACTGCGTTGGTTTTCCCTTGAAGAGGAAAGGGTGATGCAGCAACGTAGCATAAGTATTTCCCTCAGTTATTGAGAACCAATGTATCAATCCAGTAGGAGGCCACGCGCGAGTCCCTCGCACCTACACAAACAAATAAAATCCTCGCAACCAACGCAATAAAAGGGTTGTCAATCCCTTCACGGTCACTTACGAAAGTGAGATCTGATAGATATGATAAGATAATATTTTTGGTATTTTTATGATAAAGATGCAAAGTAAATAAAGCAAAATAAAAATGGCAAAAGAAATAACCTGTTGATGGAAGATTAATATGATGGAAATAGACCCGGGGGCCATAGGTTTCACTAGTGGCTTCTCTCGAGAGCATAAGTATTACGGCGGGTAAACAAATTACTGTTGAGCAATTGACAGAATTGAGCATAGTTATGAGAATATCTAGGTATGATCATGTATATAGGCACCACGTCCGAGACAAGTAGACCGACTCCTGCCTGCATCTACTACTATTACTCCACACATCGACCGCTATCCAGCATGCATCTAGAGTATTAAGTTCAAAAGAACAAAGTAACGCTTTAAACAAGATGACATGATGTAGAGGGATAAACTCATGCAATATGATATAAACCCCATCTTGTTATCCTCGATGGCAACAATACAATACGTGCCTTGCTGCCCCTACTGTCACTGGGAAAGGACACCGCAAGATTGAACCCAAAGCTAAGCACTTCTCCCATTGCAAGAAAGATCAATCTAGTAGGCCAAACCAAACTGATAATTCAAAGAGACTTGCAAAGATAACCAATCATACATAAAAGAATTCAGAGAATATTCAAATATTGTTCATAGATAAACTTGATCATAAACCCACAATTCATCGATCTCAACAAACACACCGCAAAAGAAGATTACATCGAATAGATCTCCACAAGAGAGGGGGAGAACATTGTATTGAGATCCAAAAAGAGAGAAGAAGCCATCTAGCTAATAACTATGGACCCGAAGGTCTGAAATAAACTACTCACACATCATCGGAGAGGCAATGGTGTTGATGTAGAAGCCCTTCGTGATCGATGCCCCCTCCGGCGGAGCTCCGGAAAAGGCCCTAAGATGGGATCTCATGGCTACAGAAGGTTGCGGCGGTGGAATTAGGGTTTTGGCTGCGTATCTGGTAGTTTGGGGGCACGTAGGTATATATAGGAGGAAGAAGTACGTCGGTGGAGCAACGTGG